ATATAATATATAAGTATCTGTATGCATGGGAATATGTGTGTAGTATCCTTATTTCATGAGTAATGAGCATTAAATACAAAATTTACTACTGTAAATCATGTCAAATAGCATTTACATTTTGTTTAAAACTCCTACAATACTTTTATGTATAGAGTATGGATATGTCTGAAGCGTATTTCTTTTATTTAATGTATAATAATAATAATTGGAAACTCAGATTGCTTTACCCTAAAGAGATATTACTTTAAGGACAGATTCCTTTGCCTTACTCCCTCTGTAATTATTATATTTAATTTAAATCATTTACTGTAAATCATATATCATTGAAGTTATGTTTTTTGTCCATATATAAGACACTTCTAACCGTAGAGTACGGTTATATTTTAAGCGTATTTCTGTAGCCTTTCTTATGTATACCAAGAACTAAAAGGTGAGCTTGCTTTACCCCAATCAGATATTCCTTAACTCTAATGTATAGGGTATAAAGTTCATTTCAGTAACCTCGACATGTCCTTGCTTCGTGTCCTGTGTGCCTGCTGCTTGTTGCATGTTTTTCCTTTCGACTGAAGTTGTAAATAAATCAATGATAATTAACCTGCTGCAGCGCGCGTAGATATAATTTTACTGTCAATGTTGTCAGCGCTGACAGTCGAACATCTTAAATCATTTTGGCTGCCATTGTAAGCGAAAGAGATAGACAGCGAGAGAGAGAGAGAGAGAGAGAGAGAGAGAGAGAGAGAGAGGCAGAGACAGTGACACTGACACTGACACCGGCATAAAGGAAGACGAGAGGAAAAAACTCAAATCGAAATGAAATTAAAAAGCGCAACAGCGACAGACACTAAACACGCTTAAATGAACAACGCGCCCCGAAAATGCCAAATGCGCAAAATAAAATGCCAATTCGCACTCGCGCAGAGAAGCAGAGGAAGAAGAAGAGCAGACTGGACTGGCTGGGACTCTGGGCGCAGGGTCTGGGGTCTGGGGCGTTTTGGATTGGAGGTCTGCGCGACAAAACACCTTTTCAAAATGCGCACAGCAGCATCGGCTGGCTGCGATGGGGCCTCGATTTCTGATGCGTAGACGTCAAAAACGCCGTGGTGGCAATTAAATGCCTCGCTCGGCCTCTGGGCCACTTGGCTTGGCTTGGCTCGACTCGACACGACTCGACTCGGCATTGGCCACAAATAACGCCCAAATATGGCGCAATTTCATTCGGGACGCAGCGCAGTGCAGCGCATCGAATCGATTGCCAATGCCACCGATGCCGATTCATTTCAATTCGTTGCGTTTCGATTTATTTATCACCTGTCGTTGGAAATTGAAATTGCATTTCGCTTGGCCAACGCAACGCAACGTCTTCGCTCTGCTCCGTTTCTGCTTGTGGTTGTTGTTGTTGTTGTTGGTATTTTCTTTGGCATTGGGGCCATCGCCCCAGGTAATCATTGTCAACAATTAATGAAAGCCATTGTGGGCGTGGCAGCCTTTTAATGAACAGCACAGCGGCTGTTCGCTACTCGTTTCTACCTGACTCTCTCTCTCTCTCTCTTCCTCTCTCTTTCTATCTCTGTTTCTGTTCTGTCAGAACTTTTCTATTAGAATGGCCAGCAAGTGAGTGGAAGAGAAAAAAACTCATCAGCATAATGTAAGACGCTGCTCGGGGCGATAATGAGCTATAATGGAGCTGGAGTTGGCCAAGGCCTGTGTAGACCCAAGTCGCGAATCTTGTGAACGCAGTTGCCTCTTAAGAGGCTCTTAATGCCGTTTTGCTTGATTTTCCGCTTTAGCCCTTTACTTTTCTGTCTCTACCTTCTTTTTTTCTTTTTTTTTTTTTTTTTTGCATATTTAAAAGCCTGAATTCATTCGCTGATCAACTAATCAGCCAGCAGGCAGGCAGCCAGGCAATCAGGCTGAGGCAAAGAAAGTCGCGTCGAGAGTCGAGCGGAGCTGAGCTGAGACCCCCAACTCAAGCTGGTTTACGGCTTATCAATGCACTTTGCCGCGCAACACGTAAACTTACTTTACACGCGTTAGCTTCTGATAAGGCGCTGACTCGCAACACAAAATGAAAGAGAAAGATAGAGAGGGGGAGGGAGAGGGGGCGGTAGAGAGAGGGCAATAACAATGGCACTGATAGCGCTTAGAATTGATTTAAATCGATGTACTTTGCATATTTTGTGCATTTTTATGGCC